GTTCTGGGGCGTGGGAGGTAATGACAAATGATTCCAAGTTCATGTGGAAAAATAACCATTGGAGAGTAACCAGAACATCCTAATGGGGACAAGGGGATACTGTTAATGGTCACCCCCTCAACAGCCCTTGCCCCTTGCTTTCTGGGCCATTCTCAGTGTGTGGCCTGGGCTCTCAGGGGTTAAATCTCCTCGAGGTCAGGGGACAGTCCCAGCTGTCCCCCCTGGCCCCACAAGGCATGGCGGATGTTATTTACCCTAAGCGGGTCTGCTCCGGGACTTGGATCTGGGCGTGGCAGCCCCAGGGGAGGCCTGGGTAAGGCTTGTGTTCCCCAGAGTGAACTCCCCCAGGTTCCTGCAGGCACTGTCCCTCTCCCTGGCCAGGCCTGGTGGCCCGTGAAGACTGAAGAAACAGCCGCTTCCTCCCCAGCCAGCTCCCGCTCCCTCCCCCTTTGCTGCGATGGGGTGGGCCCAGGGCAGCCTTTTCCAAAAGTGCCTGGGCACCTTCAGCCTCCCCTGTAGCCAAGGAGAGGAAACTCCCAGACGGGGCGAGGCTCCACAGGTGTGCACAGAAACAGTGTTGCCTCACAGGGACACAAAACCGAGTGGAAACAATACGAGTTCACAGCACAGGCCTGGCTAGATAAAGAGGTAAGTAGGAATCAAGCCGCACATCTGCACAAGATATAAGCCCGCCAAGATGTAGTAAGTAAAAGTATCATGTGGCAAAATCTCACTTACACGGTGAAAATGCTTATATGCGTGTAGACAATTCTGGAGGGGTTGGTAGCAACACTGACCCCATTACTGCTTACAAGGAGCAGATCTGAAGGAAGGAGGAGGTGGCTAGGTTCTCATACCTTCTCACTGTTTCCCTCTTTCTCCTCCTCAGAAAGTACAATGAAAGAGTTAGCATAAAAGGGCAGGTTCCTAACTTCTCTGGGCTTTCGTTTTCAAAACTGTAGAGCGGGCACAATGACTACCTCTGAATACAATGATGGCGAACCTGAAATTACGTAATATAATGAGGCTATTGAAACCGTGCCAGGCAAACAACAGTAAGTGCTCAGACATGTTTGCTATTTTCACTGAAAAATGAAAGTTCGAAAAGCCAGGGGGTTTTAGGGATGGTGCAAAGTCGGGGGTGGGATGTTCCAGAAATGAGAGCAGCCCCGACTCCAAGGCGGAGCACAGTGCAGAGAAGCTGTAGCTCAAGCCGTTCTGCAGGATCAGGTGGGCTGGGCAGCCTCTGAGGAAGGCTGAGGCCAGGGCAGCAAAGGGACCCACTGCAGCAGGGGGTCCACGAGCTGGGAGGGTGGTGAGTTTTCCTCTCACCGTGGATGGGATATGGAGAGAGGGATGCGGGCTGGGAGTCAGCAAGCTTGGGGTTTCTGGTCATGAACTTGCATCTCTTCAGGAAAGCCCGGGTCTTGGTTGCAAGCAAAGTAGGAGCTCTCTAACTGCTGCTTTGCCCACCTGCGACGCCCCTGGGGGACCCTGGACAGTCTTGCTCCCCGTGTCGCAAGGTGAGGTGCACTTGACTGATTGTTCCTCTTCCTGGCTTTGACTCATTTCCCTCCTAAATTCTGTGTGTCAGACTTGGAAGAAAAAAAAAAAGTGAAGATGGGTAATTAAAGCCAAGAAAGACCGTGCATGACTAAATTCATTATAAGCCAATAAAAATGATTGAAGTGAACCTGCAGTAAGTTAATGTGTATTTATGATATTGCCTTTGGAGATTGTGCTAAATCGCCTCTTAGTTCACTGAACCCGAGCACTGCCCTGTATAATTGCTCCGAAGGGCTGCCATACGCCCTGCGTGAGGGTGAGAGGTGGGCCCTCTCACAAGATCGGGTGGTGGTTAAACACAAGAGACCCTATTGACAAATGGGGCAGACAGCGGGCCCTGCTTGTGAAGGTCAGTTCTGTGTCAGCGTGGCTGCGCCATGGGCACCCAGATGTCCAGCCTGAAATTACATGGGGTGTGTGTCTGGGAGGGTGTTTCTCTGTGAACATTAATATCTGAATGTATAGACCGGGCACAAGGGACTGCCCTCCCCAGGGGGACAGATCTCATCACAAGTCTGAATAGGACAAAAGGGGGTGACTGTATTTGAGCTGGGACACCGGTCTTCTCCTGAACTTGAGATGGAACCATGTCATCAGCTAGCTCTCCTGGGTGTCTAGCCTGCGGACTTCAGATCATGGGCACTTGTCAGCCTCCATAATCATGGGGGCCAACTCCTCCTCATCCATCCACCCATCCATCCCTCCATCTCATCACCTATCTGCCCACACCTGTCTCGCTGTCTCCTGTTGGTTATGTTTCTCTTGAGAGCCCCTGGACTTCAGGGTGGAGGAGGTGTTTGTGCACATGCTGAGGTACATGGAGCATGCAGAAGAATTTAGGGGGGAGGGGAAGAGGAGGGGCTGGGGCAGAACCTGGAACAGAGAGATCTGAGGGTTTTATTCCGCACCTCCCAGGAAGATGAAGGGGTTGAGTTTTATGGCTTTGAGGAAGCACCAATGCCGTGAAAAGAACTGAGTTGGTGAGTCAGATAGACCTGGGCTCAAAGGTGGGCCACGCAAACCAGGTCGGGTACTCACTTGCCCTGTCCAAGCCTCAGTGTCTTCAACCATCCTGAGAAGCTGGTAACACCTGCCTCACAGGATTATTGCCATGGTGATGTGTGGAGGCACCTGGGATGTAGTGGTCGTTCTACAAGTGCTAGTTCCCCACAGCCCTAGCTCTCTCTCACTCACGTGGACGTGAGGTGCTGCCGTAAACTGTGAGGACAGGTGAGCTCAGTGTCCCACAAATGGCTGGAAAGGTAACTCCTGTCACTCTTGTGTTTCGCCCCTGCACTCCATGAGAACAGCACTGAAGCAGTCTTCTCCCCACGTGTGTCCAGAGTCGTGGATGCGTGAGTGAAGGAAGAGACCGGAGCTGTCAGGGAAGGCTTTGTGCGGAAGGACGGGGTCCCTGAGTCTGATTGGCAGGGATGGGAGAGGCTGTGGGGGCATTCAAGGTGCCAGGCCTCCGGCCAGGAAGGCTCCGGGGAGAGGGGGAGCCAAGCTGCGGGACAGGAATCTGCAGGGAAAGAAGTGGGGACAATGGCTGGAAGGGTACTGTGGCCCCAAAGCCAAGGTCTGCAATGCCATGTTTAGGAGTTTGACTTTATGCCACAGTTCATGAGATAACTGCACCACAGTGCTCTGAGCAGAGGAGAAAAACTGTTTTGGAGAGATTCATGGTTTACAGGGAAGCGGAAATGAGGCTGTTGGCTGCGGGGGCAGAGATAACAGGACCACCTATCTCAGGTTGGTTGGGGCGAATTTACTCAGTGGCGGTTGGAGGGCGCCAGGGGGCTGGGAGAAGGGACAGGCCCTGATACACAAGCATGTCTCTGTAGTTCCCTATTTTCTAATGTCCCTTTGGCCAAAGAAAGTCACATGTCTAGGCCTAGATTTAAGGGTGGAAAATAGACTCCAGTTCTTGCTGGAGGGGCCAAGCCATAGATAGGCAAAGGGGTGAGGGTGGAGGGAGGGGTGAACTCATGACCATTTGAAGCTGAACCCTGGGCTAAGTGGTGTAAGTACCAGAGACAGGCAGGGAGAACCAAGTACCAAGACTGAGGTGGGAGACTGTCTACAGACAACCTGGCAAAAGGAAACAGAGAGGTTTAGATGGTCGGCATGTTGGGTTAGAGAGACCAGCCGAGCCGTTAGCACCCGCTTTCTGGAATAGGTGACAAAATACCACACAACCTTTTTTTTAAAAAAAATATTTATTTATGTATAGAGAGGGGAAGGGAGGGAGAAAGAGGGAGAGAAACATCCATGTGTGGTTGCTTCTTGAGCGCCCCCTACTGGGAATGTGCCCTGACTGGGAATTACAGGCCGGCACTCAATCCACTGAGCCACATCAGCCAGGGCTTGTCCTAATTTTTTAACTCAATTTTTATCTATTTGTATTTAGAGAGAAAAGCAATTATTGTATTCCGGGGTGTTATTTTGCATATGGTTATTGTTATTGCTCCCTAGAATTATCTCTTAACACATTTGGAATTAGTACTACCCATATATAATGTGTATTCTTATTTTTCCCTCAAAAACTTGGGCAAAAAGTACATATTATACATGGCAAAATATGGTACCTACCATAAAATCATTTGAAAGCAATTCGTAGATCTGCTTTAGGAAGCAAAGTGCTTCCTAATGATTTTCAATTAGAGATGCGAAAAAAAAATTGTAGCCAACAGGAATTTAAATGACTCCTACAGTCAAATAAATAAAAAATAAAATGATGAATATTCCTTCTAATGCAATATTATAGCAAAACAAACAAACAAACAAACAAAAGACCACATCAAGCCAAACAAAAATGAGTAAAAGATCCTTAATGAAGAATGGGGTGAATGACTGTCTGGCATGTTTATCAGCCCCCCCCCCCCCAATAAACGTGATGTCCAGGGTCTGCCTGTGCACAGGGCTACCCTGCGACTTGGCAGGGGCCCCACCTTCAGGGCTATCGCCGTTTGCCAGGTGGGGAAGCCCCAAAACTCTGGTCTCCGGAGCCCCTTATCGGACCCAGAGAAGTCAGGTTTCCGCCCACAGAATGTCCTGAAAGAACCGATTTCCGACCTGTACTTACTCCGGCAGAGAGCGACTTTCCCGTGGGAGAGCTCCTGCCTGGTTCTGCCCCAGGGCCCTGCAGGTTGAGCTGGGTGCCGTAAAGGACCAACTACTGTGACTAGAGCGCCATCACTGGGCCGGCCCGCGCATCTGCACATGTCACCCTCACTGGAGGGGAACTGCCTCTGCAAAGTTACTGCAATCGCCCCCTCCTGCGGCTCTCAGCAGCCTCCGTTCCCTGGGGGCGTGGCACCAAGCCGCATCCTGCCCCTACCGCCCTCGCCACGCCCCCACCGCCTTAGGAACGCGGACGCCGGGCGCGCTCCTCTGACGCTTCGGCGCCTTTCTGTGACGCCGGCCCCGCCCCAGCCCCGCCCCGGGTTGCTGGGCACAGACCTTCTACCCCGGGAGGCTTTTTCTGGGGCTGTGCTGAGGCAGTGGCTGTGGTTGCGGTCCTCCGGCCGGCTGTGGCCCGCTGTGGTCCCAGCTCAGCGCGGCAGCCGCTCAGCCCCTCGGATCGGCAGGCGATGGTACAGCGGGGCGCGTGGACGCGGGCATGACGGAGGATGGAAGCGCAGGACGAGGTGTCGGCGCGGGAGCAGCATTTCCACAGCCAAGTGCGGGAGTTCACGGTGAGCTGCGTGCCCGCTCTCCGACCCCTGCCTCCTTTCCTGGCCCCTCTGCCCCCACCGACTCCCTACCGCCCCGTGGCCTCCCCATGGCCACCTGCGCCGCTTCCTGCCCAGCTCCGCCCCCGCGCGCGCCCACCGCCAGCCCGCCGCCGCTGTGCGCGCGGTTCCCAGTCCCACACGGAGTGCTGTGGCGCCCCTGCCCCGCGGCGCCCGCACCGTCCGCACCGTCTCTGCCCTTCCTGGGCCAGGGTGGCCGGGCCTGACTGGGAGACTAGCGCGCGTGCGGGTCCCGGCAGCACGGGGCGCTCATCCCTGCTTCCGTCGCTCTGCTGTCTGCCTGCCTCCAGCTCATTTGTATAAAAGCCGAAACCACCTTCTGCTGGAGGAAGACAGGCGATTCACTGGCCGCATCCCTGCTGCTCCCAGGCAGCCTCTCGGAGGCCCCTCTCCTGGCCCTTCTCTGGTCCGCGCTGCTGCCGGGGTGTCAGGCGCTGGCGTGGCCGAGGGAACCTGCTTGGAGGCTTCTCAGGCGCAGGGGGGGGGCGTGGCTGGAGGGGAAAAGGTGGTTTCCCGTGGTCCTGTCGGTGCAGATGCTGATCTGGACTCCACGAGTCTCCGTGCTAAATCTTGCCCCGGAGCAAAGAGGAGCCCTAGATCCGAACTGTGGGGTTGGAGACAGAGTTTGCTTTCAATTTGTAAACTAAAGCTACGGTGACCGAGGGGGCGCACGACTGAGCGCTCGCCCAGTTTGAGGACTGCCACCCAGCGACTGGCACCCCCCCCCCCCGCCCGCTCTGCCGGGCTCCTCAGGGTCAAGTCTCAGTCGTGCGAGGGGATGCAGACGGCGGCTTGTCCGCGCGCGCTCACGTCTGGTTCTCGCCCAGCGTTGCATACGAAGCTCCTGCATCTGTACACAGAGTCCCCTCCGTGCGAGGAGCGCAGGACCTCTCCTCTTTGGCACGAGTAGAGTTTTCTGCCCTCCATGTACTCTCTAGTACGCGTGCCATGGTTTTTTATCGCACGAAAGATTTTATTGAATTTCCCCGGTAATTTGAATTTCAGAGAGCCTTTTCATGCGTTTATCAGTCATTTGGAAATCTTTTCTAAAGTCTCGCTATACACTACATTGGTCGGAGGTGTAGATGCCGCAACTCAGGGACGTTTTCTAACAAGCGGAAATTCTTAGTTTTAATACAGTTCACTGTATCATGTTTTTTTACGATCAGTGCTTTTTTGTTTTATGTCCCGTTTGAGAAATCTTTGCTTAATTCAAGGTTATGAAGAGGTTCTCTTGTGCTTTTCCCTAACTGCTTAATCAATTTTCTCCATCCCATTGAGACTTGAATTCATTTGCAGTTTATTGCTTGTGTGTGTGGCGAAATAGGAGCCATACATGTTTCTTTTTTAAAAATATATTTTATTGATTATGCTATTACAGTTGTCCCATTTTTTCTCCTCTTTATTACCCCCGCCCTGTACCCTGCTCCCACCAGTGTTCCCCCACTTTAGTTCGTGTCCATGGGTCGTACATGTAAGTTCTTTGGCTTCTCCATTCCCTACACTATTCTTACCCTCACCCTGTCTATTTTGTACCTACCATTTATGCTCCTTAGTTCTGAACCTTCTTCTCCATTCTCCCCCTCCCCTTTCCTGCTGATAAACTTCCGCGTGATCTCCATTTTTGTGATTCTGTTCCTGTTCTATTGTTTGCTTAGTTTCTCTTTGTTTTTGTTTAGGTTCAGTTGTTAATAGTTGTGAGTATATTGTCATTTTACTGTTCATAGTTTTGGATCTTCTTCTTTTTCTTAGATAAGTCCCTGTAACATTTCATATAATAAGGGCTTGGTGATGATGAACTCCTTTAACTTGACCTTATCTGGGAAGCACTTGATCTGCCCTTTCATTCTAAATGGTAGCTTTGCTGGATAAAGCAATCTTGTATGTAGGTCTTTGGATTTCATGACTTGGAATACTTCTTTCCAGCCCCTTCTTGCCTGTAAGGTCTCTTTTGAGAAATCAGCTGACAGTCTGATGGGAACTCCTTTGTGGGTAACTGTCTCCTTTTCTTGTGCTGCTTTTAAGATTCTCTCCTTTGCTTTAATCTTGGCTAATGTAATGATGATGTGCCTTGGTGTGGTCCTTTTTGTATCCAATCTCTTTGGGACTCTCTGAGGTTCCTGGACTCGTATGTCTATTTCCTTTGCCAGATTAGGGAAGTTTTCTCTTATTATTTTGTAGAATAAGTTTTCAGTTTCTTGCTCTTCCTCTTCCCCTCCTGGCACCCCTACGATTCAGGTGTTGTAACGTTCAAAGTTGTGTCAGAGGTTCCTAAGCTGCTCCTCATTTTTTAAAATTGTTTTTTCATTCTGTTCTGGTTGAATGTTTATTTCTTCCTTTTGCTCCAAAACATTGACTTGAGTCCTGGTTTCCTTCCCATCACTGTTGGTTCCCTGTGCATTTTCCTTTATTTCACTTGTCATAGCCTTTACTCTTCCCTCTATTTTGCCTCCGTACTCACCCATTTCTGTGAGTGTCCTGATGACCAGTGTTTTGAACTCTGTATCTGAGAGGTTGGTCACTTAGTTGTTTTTCTGGAGTTTTGCTCTGTTCTTTTATTTGGGCCATATTTCTTTGTCTCCGTACACCTGTTTTGTAATAAGAGGCGGAGGCTTAGATGTTCACCAGGGCAGGGCGGCCCAGGTCACTGCCTTGTGACACTCTATGTGGAAGAGGGGTCTGGGAGGGAACAGTGCTGTTTGCTTGGCTCTCTGCCGATTTTCAGTCACTTCCCACAAAGAAATTGAGCCCTTCTGGTGCTGATTTCTGGGTGGATGGGCTTGTATACATTCTAGGACCCTGTGGGTCTCTCCAGCAAACTGTCCTGTGAGGCTGGGAGTTTTTCCCAGTGCCTCAACCCCCACGGGTTTGTACAGTGAGAGGTTTGAGGCTTTATTTCCCCACCTGGAGCCCTGGGCAGTGGGTCTGTCTCGCTCCCCAGTTGTTCCTCCTGGTTTATCCACACACGAATGTGGGACTGCCTACTTCGTCAGCCACCACCTAAGCAGTGAGTCCTTTCCACCCAGATGCCCATCTCCACCCCTCCTACCGTCTGGATGAGTTTTTCTTCTCTAACTCCTTGGTTGTCGGACTTCCATGCAGTTCGGTGTTCTGGCAGTTCTGGTTGTTTTTTGTTTTTAAGTTTGTTGTTGTCCTTCTGTTTTTGCAAGGAGGCACAGTGTGTTTGCCTACGCCTCCATCTGGGCCGGAAGTCTCACATGTGTTTCTTCACGTGGATATGAAGTTGCCGAAGCACCACAGTGACCTTTGCCCCATCAGGTCACTGTGTGTTTATGGGGTTTGAGCATGGATACTGATGTTCCATTGGTCTGTGTGTTTTCAGTATATATTGAGTGAATTGGATGGTCTGTCATTGGGACTGTGGCCCCAGGTACGGCAGCCAGGGGCTCCATTGCCTCCTCTCCTGCCACCCCTTAGCTGCTATTGGTCAGGCCTCGGCGTAGTAACAGGGTTACAGGCAGACTCCAGTTAAGGAGGAGCATCTAGAGAAATCTGACGGCAAGGGAGGTGGGGGGCAGGGGGCAAAAACAAAGGCACCAGAGGGAATTCTAGCCTGACATCACCTACAGCGCCATCCGGTAGTCTGACTCACAGCCAGAGAGACGGGAAGCTTCGCATGGAAGGTCTGTTCACCTCAGTTCCTGCCACCTGGTACGCAACGTATTACCTGCAACAGAAACGTTACAAAGCATATGAAGAGGCAAAAACACAGTCTCCAGAGACAGAGTAAGCGCCAGACCGGACTCAGGTGTGACTGAGATTTGGGAATTCTGAAGCCGGAATTTAAAATAACAGATTGGTGTGCAGAGGGCTCAAATGGAAGAAACACACTGCATATAATAGCAGATGGGTGATGTGCGTGAAGAGATGGGAACTCTAAGGGGCGGTAGGGACCGAGGGAGCTGTCACAGAGATGAGGAGGGCCTTCGATGAGCTTCGCCGGTGACGACTCAGGGCCAAGGGAAGAGGGAGGGAGCTAGACGACGTGTCAACAGAAGCTTTGCAAACCGAAGAGCGAGCAGCAAAGGAGATTAAAGAAAGAAACAGCACAGCCAGGGGCTGCAGGACAGTCACAGAGGATGCAGCGCATGTGCACTGCAAGTACCAGAGAGAGAAGTGCACAGGGAGGGGAGAAATATCTGCGGCAGCGATGGCCGAGAATCTCCAGAAGTTAGTGCAGTCACCAAACCACAGATCCAGCAAGCTCGGAGACCACCGAGCAGGACAAATACCCGAACTGTCTAGACCCGGGCACATCATCTTCATGCTGCAGAAAAGCAGAGATGGAGAGCACGGGGAGAGGAGCCTGAGTGACAGCGCCTCCCATGGACAGGGTGGGGAGTGCGTTTCACCTCCCATCAGTGCACTGTCTGGGTTTTGGGCTTGGTCCCCAGTTGGGGTGCCTGCGGGAGGCAGCTCATCGATGTTTCTCTCTCAGCCTCCTTCTTTCTCCAAAATCAGTGAGCATCGGGTGCGGGTCTGACCGCCCTGACCGGTCCTGCTCCCTGTGCCACCCTCACATCCTGTGGTGGCTGCTCCGGGACCGCCAGTCTGTGCTGCTCACTCCCTGCACCGTTTCACCAACCCTGCAGCCCCTCTCCCGCTGGCCACTCTAGTTCTCTGCGGGCTTATCGACAGAGTTACAATGTGAGTTTTAATTACTGTGGTGGGTAGCTCCCGCCGTTCAGAAACACTCAGTACCTCTGCTGTTTCCCTCAGTTGCTCGGGCTCTGCAGGGGGAATGGGGCTGCTGACTGTGTTGCTGCAGACCTGTCCCCACCCCCTGACCCCCCTCACCCCGCTCCCCCACGTTGTCAGAGATGTGTTGGTGTTGCCAGCCTGGAACCTCCTTGTCCTTGCTCCTCTGTCTCTCAGTCGCCCTGAATTTGTTAAAGCCCCTCGGCCCTAAATGAAAAGCTGGGATGTACTGCTTTCCTGTAACACACTAGTTTGAATTTAGGTTCAAGCCTTGCACCTGGAATTTAAGGTTATTAGCTTTTCACAATGTTTTTTAAAATTCTCTAGGTTGCTGTGAGTGGGTTTCTTGGCTCCCATATGCCCAGCCGTCAGCGTCCAGCGTCAGGACTGACTGGGCCCCTGGAAAGGGCCAGTGGGCATCCAGCTGGTCCCCACGAGGTCTCTGCTGGGGGGCTCTGTCGTCCCTCTCCTCCCTTCCTGGTAGGGGAGGGGCCCCGGCTCCTCCGAGAACCATGAGCGCCCACCTCTCCTGTCGCGTGATTTCCCCAGTCTGCGCGCCTCTGGGTGTGGAAGGACTGGAGGAGTCCTCACCACCCGCTGCCCTCCTGCGGGCCGTCTCTCTGCTGAGTGAGTCAGACGCTCATGTACGGGAACCGGATGGCGGCCAGCCAGGCCCCTGGCTTCGGTTCCGTCCGTCACGGTGGTGCTTCAGTTTTCACAGGGGGTCACCTTTATTTCCCAGTGAGCCGAGTGCTGGCTTCCGTGGTTGCCCACCTCACTCCTGACCTGGAATGAGTCGCTCTCCAGCAGCCTTTTCACTGTGTGCCGTGCATCTGGGTCCCTTGAACCCCTTCTGTTCGTCAGCCTTCACGCCCTCCCATTCACCATGTCTGCACCAGCTCCTGAAACTGCGGTTCCCCACCTCCAAATACGGACTAAACATCCCCAAAACATCCTTCAAGCACAGTCTTCTGTTCTTCCACTTCCCTGGTCAAGTGCTTCTGCTGCAGCCGCTGCTCCAACGGGACCCTCTGCTCCCGCCCATCACCCCCTCGTTTCGCTGTCTCCCAGTCTCCGCAGGCCAGTCATTTCATTCCACTCTTGCGGGTGCCCTAAACCTGGGGTTCTCAGAGAGGGGTGCAGGGGTTCCTGGGTGACAGTGGTGACGTCCTGGGGCAGATGAGGTTGCCTGGGAGGAGCTTGCAGAACGAGAGCAGTTTCTGGCTCTGTCCTGGGATTGCAGCAGGGGGTGATGTCCAGTGGCTAACGGGCAGGGGCAGCCAGTGAGGGTCACTGGGAGAGAGGTTGGGGGCGGGGGCGTGCTGGCGTGCAGGCTGCCGGGCAGAGGGCAGGGGGCATCGTGAAAGCGTCACGTGGCTGCTGGGTCCCTCCTCGGGCCACTGTCCCAGGACAATAGGGAAAGCTCTGCTAGGAGGCTCGTGGTCTTTCTCTCCATCTTTTTAAAAAATATTTTATTTATTTAGTTTTAGAGAGAGGGGAAGGGAGGGAGAGAAACATCGATGTGAGGGAGAAACACCGGTTGCCTCTCACATGCTCCCCACTGGGGACCTGGCCCACACGCAGGCCTGTGCCCTGACTGGGAATCAAACTGGTGACCGGCGCTCCATCCATGGAGCCACACGAGCCAGGGCTTCCTTTCCGTCTTGAGTTGTCATTTCCTAGGCGATGTTACAGTGATGTTCACTGCGCAGGTCCAGGGTCATTCTCAGTCACGTGCTGCCGACCCTTCCTGAGAAACGCCCTCCCGAGGCCTTGTCACCACCTGGGCTGCTTTCACTTGAGAGCTTTCAGAGTGTCTGACTGTGGTCCACGGCTCAGAGGCCTTTATTTCTAACACACCTGGTCTTTGACGAGATCTGTTTTTCCACCCATCCTTTTTGCCTGTCATGCCCTAGATCTGATGGGAATGAAATAGAATTTAGTATCAATGTCTCGTGTTCAGCTTGTTTACTTTGACGCACGGTGTGTTTATTGAGCAATTATTATGGCACTGATTACTGATGCCTGTGTGTGTGTGGCCATGTGACGCACATTTCAGATGATAGAGACCGTTCTGCTAACCACAGGACGTTGCCCCAGTGGTCCCTGTGAGTGTCGCAGGCCCTGCATGTCATGTCGCACTCTGGGTTGGGGTGGCCTCACCCTTCCTTTGCTCCCAGCCCTGTGGGCCGTGTGCCGGCTCTGTACTGGCGCCTGACTTCAGGAACAGCTTGGTCAGGTCATGGAAAGGAAAATCCCCATCGCACTTCTTTTTCCCGGGATGGTGTTCAAACTGGTTCCTGTGAATTATTCCATCCAAACTTTATACTAGCAAAACACTTAAAATGTTTACTTTGGAATAGAGTAAATCCTTTTATCTATAGATGCTAAGGCTGCATCCTCTATTACTTAAAAAAAACGAAAAACTGGATTGCTAGCTGATGAGTCCACTTTGTTTTGTTCCAGATATGCTTCCTCCTCTTTGCCGCTCTCTACGCCATCTCCTACGTCGTCATCACGAGGTACAGGAGGAAGTCAGGCAAGTACAGACGCCGAGGCGAGCCCTCGGGCGTTCACGCTGGGCGGCCTCGGCAGAGCGTGCGGGCTGCAGTGTCCGGCAGAGGTGCATTCACTTGGCCCGGGGCTGAGGCAGGCAGTGGCCCTGTGCTAAGAGCACTAAAAATCACCTGCAGGGAACCTGGCCACTGCAGGCCATCCTCTCCGACCCTGGCCGGCCGGTCTGTCTCACCCTCGGGCCCAGCAAGCAGGTGCGGGCTCCTCGGCGGCCGGGGAACTCCCGAGTTTGAGAGTCTCTTTGGCTCCGTGAGACCGGCTCTGAGTCCAAGTGTGCTTGCCCGTCCCGTCCTGGCTCTGACCCCCAGGCGGTCTTTTTTGTCCAACAGTGACATGGAAGTCAGGGTCTCCCCGACACCAAGGCCTTTTATGATTCCGCATATATCTTGCCAGAGGGACCCCTGTATCTTTATTCCTTTTTTAAGGAACTTTGTGCTGATTTGTTGATTCAGACTTTAGTGCTGGGTTTATTAACAAGTACCCAGGCAGGCACCTCACTTGCTGGCGCTCTGTTAAAGCTCAGCTGTCCGTTCGCCAGAAACCACAGGGCTTGCTACCCGTGTGAGGTGGTGCTCATTCTGGGTGCCGTGTGGGTGCGTAGGGATTCCAGGTATTAAAGATTCCTCATATTATGTTTTCACGCTGCGCTTGTCGGACTTTTGAAAGCAGTTGGGAATGCTGCTGGCTGCAGCGGTCCCCTTAGCGCTCTCACGGTGCTCGCTCTGCGGCCACGCCCACGCGCTCCTTGGGTTCTGTAGTCTCTCAGCTTGGCAGACCCGAGACCCAAGGCAGAACCTCAGCTGGTTTAGAAGATGTTTTGGCAACAGGTTTCTTAGATCGTGGACACAGAAGTGTACACACACACACAGGCGATGTGAACGAATGTTTTAGGGGGATTAGGTGGTAGGGAACAGGCCCAGTGGGGACTCATTAGATGCCTTTTAGAGTAACCACAGGGATGGGTGACGAGGACTCGGAGTGTGGGGATAGAGTTGGGAAGATAAAACGTTGCTTGAGGTGTTGATTGGATGTGGGCACAGCGGTGTAAACATGAGTTGTGGCTGTGTTGCGTTGCGGTCCCTTTAGTCGTGAAGCTGTTGTGAGCAGCCCGCAAGCAAGAGTGTAGATGGGACTAAGAGACGGCTCGATCGCACACTGACGGTGAGGCAGGCGGGTGCTCGGAGCTGCAGAGACTCAGACAGGGCCTTGGAGAAAAGGCCAGTTTGGTCCTGAGGAGGAGGGGGGCCGTGTGCAATGTTCTTTTTTCTTTTTTTAAAAAGATTTTACATATTTATTTTTAGAGAGAGTGGAAAGGAGGGAGAAATACAGGGAGAGAAACATCGATGTGTGAGAGAGATTGTTTCTCGTACACACCCCAACTGGGAACTGAACCTGCCACCCAGGCATGTGCCCTGCCTGGGGAATTGAACCAGCGATCGTTTGCTTGGCAGAATGGCGCTCAACCCACTGAGCCGCACCAGTCAGGGCCAACAGCCTTGTCACTGGGTCAGAGATTCTTTGGCTGGTTCGTGTGCGGGGGAGGACCAGCAAGAATGCTGAAAGCCCAGAGAGGAGGGGGCGGGGGAGGCTGCCTGAGAAGGTCAGCAAGACCGGAGGCTCCTGTCTGTCACCTGGACAGCGGTGGTGGCGTGTTGCAGCGGGAGTGCCCAGGGTGGCCCAGGGTTGGCCGGGGGGGGGGGGGGTTGTCACTATGACTGCTAAGGACAAACTCAAATCGTGGGAAAGAACATGTGTGCTAAGGGTCTGAATTCTAATTATATAGCAACCTTTTTTTTTTGACCATGATTAACCAGAAAATTTCATTCACTAGCAATTTCACTTACACTGTGTAACAGTAGACTTGGAGGTGGTCCCAAAAGTCCTACTAGATTTGATTTTCTTAAGCACTGAATGTTTGGAACATTTTAATTTACGTGTGGGGAGTTTTGAGTACTCAAAACAGTGTCCTACCTGATGTAATGAGGTGCAAACTTGTGTCTGTGCTGAAATAAACCCAGTGCTGTGTAACGTGTTTCCAGTCAGCAGTGGTTTAAGTTTGTACTGTTGTTTCTTATAAACTAATGAAACATTTTGTTGGAAGATAGAGTAACATAAATACCTTAAACATTTTTGCAGATGAACACGAAGATGAAGAGGCCATCGTCAACAGGATTTCGTATGTATTTATTGTTTTTTCCCTTAATTCTAATTCTGCCCTTTGGGTGAGATGTGGAAGGAGCTTGCCTAACGCATCCCAGCACCTCCACCGGGGCGAGCCCCGCCCTCAGGCAGTGCACGTGACTCAGGGAGGGCTGATCATCTCTCCAGGAGACCAGCCTGTGCAGGGCCCTGTAGACTTCATCTGCAGAAGGGTAACCGGGGAGTGGGCAGCCGGCCCTTGGCTGGGAGGGGCCTGCTGGGAGGGCCCCGAGGTTCCGGCCTCCTGTGCTCAGGGCGGTGGTCCCTCAGGGCCCCAGAGCTCTGTGTATTCCCCCACACCGACGGGGTGGGGCGGGGGGACATACCTTTAGTCTGTTTAGGAATCAGAGTAGGTGGAGAGCAGTGCATTCCTTTCCATCAGTTTCCGTGATTACAATCTGAAATTCCACAGCTGCCCCTATGACACAGGTGAGTGTCTGCGTTCCAGGACCGTTGTTATGAACACGGAAGCTTCCCATCCAAATAGCCCCACATCTACAGGCTAGTTAGACAGGGGTGCAAAGCCTTTCTGCACCAATCTCTGGGAGCAGGTGCTGACTAGGGGTCCCCGTGTTCGCAGGACACGTTTGTACCTGAGTCCTGTGAGCAGTGCCTTGCCCTGCGAATCCCCCACAGCCACGTACACCCAGAAGTGGGCTCGCCCGCACAGCGGTGCTGGGCCGCCACTGTTGGCGTGCCGGTGGCCCGACAGTGCGCCTGCCCAGCTCAGAGCCCCACGCTGCAGGGCTGTGCCTGGTGCCTGCGGTTGTCTGCAGGCCGGAACGTGTCCTTAGAGCTCCCTGGTTCCCTGGCCTTGTGGGTTTGTCTGTTGGCCCCTCGAGACCAGTGTCAGATCACCCGGTATTTGCCGAGGTGCGCAGGAGGGGGGCCTGCGCGCACGTACTCACGTGCTTTCACTGCACTAGACGTCACTCAGCTGTGAAGCGGAAGGCAGCCCTGAGCCTGCCGCAGTGTGGATGGGCCTCGAGCGCACAGTGCCCAGTGAAACAGGCCCATTGTGTCACCAGAGGTTGCACAGCCCGTGATTCCCTTGAGGAAGGGTCCCCGCACAGGTAGACCCAGCAGCAGGCTGGGCAGCGCCCAGGGGCCGAGGGGAGGGAGCACGGGGGCTTGCTCTGGGTGATGAAGTGCTCAGCATGCAGCACGGTGGGCCCTCCGGCCGCCCCTGGGTCGGTCACTGCGGAGCGGTCGGTTCTGTGAGAATCTCACCACAGTAAAGAAGTGCTTTCAAGTCAGGAAGGGCTTGAACAGGACAGATTTGATTTGTAACTGGAAAATGAACACGGGTGGGTCCTGCCTTACTGGATTCGGTGTTTAAATTATTTTAAGCGCCTTGGGGGAAACACCTCTGACTTTACACCGGGAGCCCTTCCTTGGGTTTACAGCTCGGGCCTGGAACTCGGTGCACCAAGTCTGCAGGGTGAGGGGTCGTAGGCGTCACTCCCAGTGCTGTGACGTGTGTGAGCATTCCCAAGGGAGCTGCCAGTTCTCTGTCGGGTTGGCTGCTCCTGTGGGAGCACAGCGCCTGCCCCTCTTCTGTGCTTCTGGGGCTGCAGCCGTGCACAGGCGACCCCAGCCAGCGGGGCTGTCCCGGGGAAACCCTCTGGGGGCGTGGCAGGGCCTGTGCCGGCCTCTCTGCTCCGCTGGGTCTCTGGCCCACTGGGCGGTGCATTTGCTGAAGTGCATTTGCAGATCGATAGTTTATAAATAGACAGGAACATGCCGCTCTCGCAGTGTGTTTCAGGACAGCCTGCGGTTTCCTCGGGGGGCGGCTCAGGACTGGTTCCCGCCCCCATCTGCTTCAGCCTGCGGCCTGTCCAAGGGCCCGTCCTGATGGGGGTGGGTGTGTGCGCATCGCAAGGTCAGGAGGGAGGGCCCAGGGGAAGGCCCCCTCGCCCTGGCTCTTGCTGTCTCCCTCTGGCTTCTGTCCCTTCTGCAGTGAGAGGAGAGGGAACTGAGCCTGGGTTCCGGTTCTGACCCTGGAATGACCTTGTGTGCAGGGGAGATGGGAGCTGAGGTGCTGTGCCCCGTGTGGCCGCCTGGCCCGCCGCCTGTGTGGTCGAGGTGTTGTGTGGGAGATGCTGCACGTGCAGGCAGCGAGGGGCCGCGCGGCTGCGCAGGGGTGTGAGCTCGGGCATCCCCGCTCCCCGGCCCTCTCCCTCGTCCTTCCCCCACGGAAGCGCTTTGTGCAGGCACAGTGGAGGGAGAAGCAGGACCTGCGGCCTAAATGGCCAAGGAGAAGGTGTGGGTGTCACCTGGGCATCGTCTGTGTGCCAGGAGAGGTCAGGGAGCTCTGAAACGCAGGGTCCTCCGGCACTGTCCAGCACTGAGGGGCTGGCGCCGTGAGTCCGGCGCCTCAGTGCACAGGAGGCCCTTCCTCGGCCTCCCAGGTCGCTGTGGAGCCCACCCTTCGTCTCTTCTTGGCTTCAGGAGCCTGCCTTCTGCCATCGTCTGGGTCTGCCTTCCTGCGCCCTGCCTTCCTGCTACCACTCTCAGGATCTGAGGGGAGGGACGGAAGTCCCCCTGTAGAGGGAGGTCCGGCACGGGCGTCATCCCAAGGTGGAGAGGAGGGGCGCCCACAGGGTTTGGGGCCATGCTCTGTCACAGGGCGGCAAGAGCATCTCTGCCGGTAGCCTGGCCTGGGTGGGGGGCTCCGGTGGGGCAGGAGGGTGGGCTTGGGGCAGGACACCCCCAAATGGGGGGGTCACCTGAGTAGCAGGGCAACTCTGCATAGGGTGGGCTGTCAGTGTGATGGGAGCTGCGGATTAGTCCGTGGGAGGTGATAGAATCGGGCTTGGAGCCGGAAGAGGGAGCCCGGTTGTCCCTTTGGGGCTGGAAGTGCCGGTGTGGCCTCATGTCTCTGCTCAGGGTTACCGAGCCGGCTGCCGATGACAGTGTGGGTGTGTGCGGGTATGAGGGGGCCCCAGACATTGGAATTACTTTCTGGAGGGCAGGCCCTTGTAGGACAGGCTTTCCCTGCTGAGTGAGTGTTCTAGGAACCCATCTGCGTCCGTGCACCAGCTGCCGTTGTGGTGAGAGGCTGCGTTTGGATCCGGTGATTTTTTATTTTTGAAGACTCTTTCACGTTGTTTGCCCATTTCATGATGGGCGATTGAGAAGTGCAACTGCCCGCCGCCCTGAGTGTTCAGCACTTTATGACCAGTGATGGCAGGACCCCCACGCCCCACCCTCCTTAATCACCGGGTCTCACCTCAAGTGACTTTTTTTTGTTTCCTTGGATGAAAAAAGTCCTCAAAGGGAAGTGTTTTGCCGATGTGGAAGAGCGAAACAAAAAAGGCAGAAGCACGAAAAGGCTTCAGAATTGATGAGTTCAGAAACTGTTCTGAGCAGTGGAACAAACATTTCAGTGGGTGTGTCGCATCCAATGGAGAGTTCTTTGAGTTGACACGTGTCAGAATAAATGTCCGTCTGATGAATAAGTTCCAGGTTTTCTGGGCACACGCATGTCCTGGGGGGCTGTCACTGAGCGCCTGGAGCGTGATGCCTGGAGCAGGGAGTGCGGGCGGCACCCAGACAGACCCCTGTCTCGGTGCACTGCCGTTGCTCAGAGGGGCCAGGGCTCTGGGGGAAGCGGCTCACCGAATGGACCTTGTCGTGCTCCGGTGTGAGGAGGTGCTCAGAGAACAACGGGGCCGTGCCAGGTAGACGCGGAAGGCTTTCCCGCCATGTCAGGACGTCTGGGCGTCTGAGTAGCGGTGGTCACGGGCCCTGAACGAGCAGTCGTGGGACGAGGAGCAGGAGGCTGTCCTGGTTCCAAGCTCAGCTTTCATGCAGTACCTGCAGATAAAGGGAAGAGGCCCCGCAGGCGCCACCTTGGCCAGTGGTCAGCACGTGGCCCGTGTGGGGCAGACGGACTCAAGGTTGCCGGGGAGCCTGTAGTGAGACGGCCCCAGTGTGGACCGCACAGTCGGCTCCCGAGGTCCTGCTGAAAGAGCCACTGTGATGGTCATGGTGGCCACACAGTCAGGAGTTTGGGTCACCTGTGGCTTCACAGGTGTGAAGCTCTCCCACACGTGTGGCTCTGTTGGGTTTCACGCCCCAGTTTTGACTTGGAGATGGGGTTGGCCCTCACTGCCTGGTCTGTGGCGGAGTGTGGTGGGTGCTGAGACCAGGGCAGGGGTGCTGAGGGACGCGTTGCAGGGGGGCCCAGGGAGGGAGCTGGCCGTGACCCAGGCTGGAGGTGTGGTGCCCACAGAGTGCGGGGCTGCCGTGGCAGTGGGTGGGGTGTGGGGGAGCCAAGGGGCTGCTGTGCAGCATCTGGTGTGGGGCTGTGGGCTTGACCCTAGTCCGGGCGTGGGGAGGAGGGGGGGGATGCGCACGGGACATGTGCTCCCTCCGTGGGGCAGACGAGACTCCCGCCAGGCCCCTGGGAGACCATTGGGGGCGGCGGCCGTGGACCTGGGCCAGGACTTGTGCTCTTGCTCCACCAGAAAGCGTGTCAGGTCAGCAGAGCCTCTCAGGGCGCATCCTGCGTCTGGTTGGGACAATGTCTTCAGCGAGTGTCCCACGGTGTCCACATCAAGTGTACCAGTGGTTGGCAGGTTTCGACCAGTTTGACTTTGAAGTAGGAAGCACTTCTGCTGGTCGCCACAAGGTGGCGCTGACTGCGCAGTTACTCTGTTTGATGTGTGTATTGGACGTTAAGTGTGACCTTTTCTCCTTGTATCTTCTTATGTTTTTACATTCTCCCTGCATTTACTTTAGTGGAATGGATGTTAAATTGTTTCCTCCAGTATTGGTGAGATTCCCATTTTCTTCGCCATTGAAAAATGCTTAGAAATATAGATAAAAAATTTAAACTTCGGATGTGTGGCGGGGAGCCAAAGCCCTTTACCAGTCTGTTGTCCTACGGGATTGCAAGGGATTGCGCTGGGCTTCTTGTGCCTCTGTTTCTCTTTGTGTACATATGTGCGTTGGGGGGGGAGTATGTGTGTGTTTGTCCTGCTTTCTTTCAGTTTCTTCATTTTTACTTGTTTCTAAATTGGTACATATTAGAGATATTTTGAAACATGACAAAATAGTGCTGTACATACTGTTTAGTAGCATAATATTCTTTAATAGTTCCTTACTATTTAATTTATAATTTATTTACACTTTACTCATTCTACAAGATAGTGGACTAATGGCTTGGTAAGTTCTTTCTGCTGAAATAATTCGTGTTTCCTACAGCTGGCACAAGTAATCTTTCCCTCTGAAACAGCTGCTGCCTTGCTTTTAGCATATATTGCCAGAATTGTTACCGAAACACAACATGAGCTGAATACTTACCCTTAAAAGAGGGACGAGGCTGCCATTCATTCTCTGTAAAGTGCGTGGCGCGCTCTGTCTGAAGTGGGTGTTCCTCTCAGGGCGTCTCATCGGACTGACCGGCCCCGGCAGAGTCGGCAGCTCTAGGGGTCGCCTCGCCTCACTCCCAGGGTCACACGTGTGTCCTGTGCCTGCCAACGACGTGAGGTGCATGGCCTTCCCCCACAGAGGTGCTGAGGTAGACACGTTCGCGCCTTCATTCGTTTGTTCGTCTGGAGTCACTCGCACACTCTCCTCCCTTGCAGGCTGTTCCTGAGCACGTTCACGCTCGCGGTCTCCGCCGGGGCCGTGCTGCTGCTGCCCTTCTCCATCATCAGCAACGAGATCCTGCTGTCTTTCCCGCACAGCTACTACATCCAGTGGCTGAACGGCTCCCTGATCCACGGTCAGTACCTGCCGCTTCCTGCCGTCCCCGGCCCTGCTTTAACTTTTCCTGCCCTGCATCGTCAGGCTTTCCTTTCCCTTCCTGTGTCACGCACATTAAAAAGTTAGTAGGGATGGGAGAAGCTCGTCAGTTCCGCAGACTGAGAAACGGTGAGACGCCTGCGTGCGGGTTTCCTTTGGGCGATGACCGCGGTGGGACTGGGTGGGCACGGTGGCCACACAGCCCAGCCAGTGAGCTGGACGCCAGTGGACCGCTCGTCTCAGAGCGGTGGTTCCAGAGGACGGGAGTTTAAAATCAAAGTAAAACCCCAGCAGCGATGCGTGTTGGAAGGTGGGAGAATGATGGGAGTAAAACTGCAGCCTCAAGAGTCAGGAAACAATTCTTCAGTCACTGAGGTGTTTCCCCAGCGGGGCAGTTTTTGTTAAACTTGTGACTGGGGGAGGTAGGCACTTGTCACTCGTGGTTCAGTCTGTTACAAGATGAGCCGAGAGAGTCTGGCTGGGTCTTTGTGAGTCTGTGTTGACTGGTCAGTAGGAAGAGACAGTGTGTGGTGTGGACCTCGTGAGGAAAAAATGGACAGGCCACCTTCCAGTCCCACGGAAGATTTTTAAAAACCATACTTTTAGATACTATTTATTTTTATGTATGAAGATGAAAAGTCAGCCAGCAGTAAATTTTAATGTCCCCTTGTTAGTTAAATGTCACTGATGATTTCTAGTTAACTGGTCTGAGTAGCTCAGGCATTTGTCATAATGCATGTCACTGTAGTTATGTGTGATAACGATTTTCAACCACCGTGCTGTGCTGCAAGAATGTTTAAAACATGCAGTGAATACCTATTTAGTCAGGGGCACAGGCCTCTCTTTCCTTATTGTCAAGTCAAAAAATAACAGCAGGCAACATAACAATGCCCATTTGTTGTGAATGATTCAAAATTATACCTATTCTTTTTTTTGTCAAATCAACAAAAAGTATATTTTTTGGTATGTTGCAGGATTTTAATAATTCGTTTATGCGAGCCATGAGATGACAAAGGTTGAAAATTGCTGGTTTATAATAATTAAAATAAAAAACAATCTAAGTGTCCGTAGTGAGAAATTTGCTTAATTATGTTTTGGTAGAGCCAAGCGGTGGGTGCTTTTTTGACCAAGATAGATGATGGTGTAGGGGAGTGATTGTTGATTTGGAACAAATCAACAGTCAGGAAAAAAATGTTCTCCTCTGGGTGGCAGGGCAATATGATATAAAGGTTTATTTTAGTATTTGTGCTGTGTAATATTTCTACAGTAGGCATGTGTTGGTTTTTTGATAAAAGAAAAAAGTTATATTAAGGTAAAAACTTCACAACTCATTGCGAAAATTGTCCTTTTTTTCTGTCTTCTAACTAAATAAGCAGAAGCTATTCTAGTTCTAAAGTTCTCACAACGCTGATGATTCCAAACTTGTCTTCTAAGGCTTATGCTTTCTTGGTAGAATTTTAAAAAATTATATCGGTCATTTTTTGACAATTAGATTAGAACCTCAGTTCCACCGGAAGATTGGTTTTATCTTAGTGTTGCCGTTTTGGAATTATGGAGTATGGCTGAGCTCGCATGGACTTCTTGTTGGACTCAGGGACTTTCTGTCTGCGAGGAACAGCGGCGTCACCCGCAGCCCCCGGCTGTCTGCTGTGTTGTGAGCGCTTGGCGACCCCAGCAGAGGGAGCTGCAAGTTCGTGCATCCTGCGGTCGCCTGGCCTTCTGTCCAGCGTGGTTTGGTTTCACACTAAGTATTTGCGTATTACTAAATAATCTTTGTCTGAATTCAGATACTTCTTTCAGGAGTAGGCATTGGCTCTTTCAGAAAGGCTGTCACTAATACTGATTTAGACAAACCACAAGGGTTCGGAGTTTTTAAGATTCTGCTCCTGTATTGGAGCATGTAACTAACTTTCTGAAGTGGAAGAATTTGACTTATGTTTTCTTTTATTTTACAAATTGATGAGTAAGAAAATAAAGGTAGTGGTAGTATTTTATGTGTATTAGCCTTAATTTTAATTTAGAAATGTTTTATCAAAACTGTAGAAACACCCTTAGGGATATTTATGTGTGTGGGCCTGGTGTATGTTTGCAGGATGCTGAGAACTTAGTTTTAGACAGTTGCTAAGGTTGTATTTACTACTTAGGAATGTGTGTTAGATCTATTATTTTTCTCAATATTAGATATTCTCACAGAAATCTTATTATGTTGCAAACTTGATAATTAAATTGGCATAAGCTAAGTCAAAAACTTTCACATTTATTTATCATGGTTAATAAACTTAATTTGTTGCATTTAATTATTTGGACTTTGAAGAAAGCTGGTTATTCACGTGCCTTATACAGGAGAAAACCACCAACTCTCCAATTCTTTCTGTTAAGTGACTATCTTGCAAGAATAAACACAGCCGTGGGCAGCTTCACGACAGGAACCGTGGTGAAAAATGCGTTGTTGGGCAGTTTCTCATGGTGGGGACATCACAGAGTGCGCTCACACACGCCCAGGTGGCCGGCCCACTACACACTGGGCCATGCAGTGCAGCCTGTCGCCCCCGGCCATCAGCTGCCCAGCGTGTGAGCTCAGGAGACGATGCAGGGTTGAATTGAATCTGGCGCGAGAGAGCATGCTGCCGTGGGGAGGCATGATCCAAAAGCAGGGTTGTGTGCGGCTCTGCAGGCTGTGTGTGGAAAGAGCGCCCCCTAGAGAACAGTCCGAGTACAGCAAGTACAGGACGTGGCCCTGTAGTCTGCGTTATTCGTTTTCCAGTGTCATGTGCTGTGCGCAACTGGGTTGCTTTCCCGTTGCACGAGGGGCGGCGCTGTGGGTCTGTCTGCGCCGCGTCCCCGTAAACACGGGAGCAGGGGATGCGCTGTGACGTTTGGCTGCTGCAAGGTCATACTAGGGAGAGGGATTCCTCAGCTCCATCGTTGTATGTACGGTCGGTCCTCGACTGGCCCATGTGGTGGCCGCTCGCCTCCGCACTGGGGTCCAGATCACATCAACGTCTGTCCCGCGATCACTGTGGCCAGGGCTCCGGCAGGAATATGGAGTGCCCCGGGAAACGGGCAGTTGGAGAAATAACATTTTAAATGCTGTGTAATATATATATTTAAAGTTCCATATGAAGAAGGCGGCATCCAGTTTCCCGACCAGCTGAAGGAGTTGCTGGTGTTCGGAACTGGCGTGGTCATCGGGACGGTTTTCCGCGCGGGTTCAGCAGGCACTGCCGCTGTTCCCCTCCGCGGGGGCAGACTTCCCTCTTCAGCTTTTCATGGCCGTCTTGTTTTCAGTGTGTGGGTTAGTCAGGGTAGGTCTTTTACTGATGTGTGAGCTTCTGCCCAGGGCAGAGTTTTATGTCTTTTTTTATAAGTTTGTGTTTTTTATCTCATTTTATTTATTTTCGGAGACAGGGGAAAAGAGGAAGAGAGGGGGAGAAGCATCCATGTGTGGTTGCCTCTTGTGCGCCCCCTACTGGGGGCCCAGCCCACAGCCCAGGCCCTGCCCTGCCTGGGACTTGAATCCAGGGCCTTTCCTTTTGCAGAAGGGTGCCCAAGCCACTGTGCTACACTAGTCAGGGCAAGGGGGGTAATTCTGTAAGGAAGGGGTTGAGAGCCAACTTTCTTGTCTTTATCTGGTCTACCTGCTGGTGTGTGTCCAGAGTTTTCAGTGGTTTGGCCTCTGTAGTGTGTGGAGACGGAGGGGAGGGGCACTGGTGTCCATGTAACTCTGGGGGTGTGTTGCTTCTCTTCTGTTCTTCCGGAGAGCCCTGGGAGTCGGGGAAGAGCCGGTGTCATCCCAGAGGAAACACCATGAGGGTTGACGCCCCTTCCAGGTCACACAGCCGATGATGCAGGCCCAGGGTGCCAGACGCGAAGGGCCACTTCCCCGGCCCCTGCCATGGAGGCTGTAGAGACCTTTTGGTCACCGAAGTGCGGGTTGCTGGTTGTGTTAGAGAGCGTTACAGAGCAGTGGGCGTTTTCTGAGAGTGTGTGTGTGTGCAGAAGGCTGGGTGCGTGTGTACACACGAATGCAGGTACGTTGGAAACACAGCAGTAGAGAGGTATGTGTGGGAGAGACGCCCAGAGAGAAGGTGGCAGGGGACCGACTGGGGCATCGGGTGGAACGCTCCTGAGGGAGGAGGGATAAGAAAAACATTGGAGAAATTCATGCCAGGAAAATGTCAACATCAGGTGAGACCCGTAAACCCGCTGATCCAAGCAGCGCAACCGGCCTGGTGTGCAAGAAACTCTGCCGGGACGCTCCATCCGATCGGACCAACACAGTGACAGAGAAAACCTTAAAGGCATTCAGAGAAAAAGACATACGAGTGCAGAGGAGTGAGGGTAGGAACTGGCACGTTTCTTGTGGGAAAAAATGCCGGCCAGATGGCAGTTCCCTGCCAACCTAAATCCAGCAAGAATGTTTTTCCAAGACAAAGGCAAAGTAAAGACAGTGTCAGATACACAGAAGATAAAAATTCATCCCGCAGACTGTTGGTGGCAGCTGACTGGGGGGATAGGAGTGTGGATCTCCTGCCCTAGAAGTGCAGTTCATGGGTAAACATAATAGTTCTCCTTTATTGTATGTCTTATTAAAAGATGATTGGTTATTTCAAAAATAAAATGGCAGTGGTACATTGGGAGCTTTATAAGGTGTGCAAGTAAAATGTGTAGGCACAGAAGTGCAAAGGTGGAAGGAAAGAAAGGGAGACACGTGGGTGTAGGATCTTACGTGGCACGTGAGTGGCTGTGCTGTTGTGGGAGGCACAGTGTGATGAGTTAGAGGGGTGCACTGTGGACCTCCAGTCCTGCACACGGCGCAGCAAGAGGTACATCCAGTAAGCAAATAAAGGAGATGAAAGGGAATCGTTCGAAGTTAGCCCAAAGGCGCACAGAACAGCAGGGAGGGCAGATAGAACCATAGGCTGAATGGAGGAAAGAGCTCGCGGACAGACCTACCCGGACCGTCCCAGGAAACCCCAG